AGTAAAACATTTTATCATTGTAATCTAGACAACTAAAAGCATGAAAAAAATTTACTAACTAGATGAAATCGTACTTTCACTTTTCAATGAATCAATAATTTAAATCGTAAGAAATACTAGGATATACATCTTACTATGTCTGAATTCTAATTCATTATTAAAGAAAAAGTCTGAATTCTAATTCATTATTAAAGAAAAAGTCTGAATTCTAATGATAAAAGTCTTTACTAGCAACATGCAAAGTGTTTAAAAAAGTCTTCCCTAATTAGTATTTCAATTCAACCATTGCTCGGTGGCCACCACCTCTCCTGGTGGGGTGGGAGGTCAGGGATTCAACCCTTGCCTCCCACCAAATTGTTTGCCCCTCATAGGCAACTCGGTTGGTCTTAGCAAGCCTCTTTAAGAGTTGGTATCTAGTGTTCACAAGGGTCCGACTCCTGTGATTATCGTGTTCGGGGGGATGGGGTCTCTCCTCCCGGGCTGGAATGGAATTAGTCAGACCTCGTAAGGATTGATCCGGACACCCACTCCGTCAGAAAAAAAAAAAAATTAGTATTTCAATTCTGAATATCTTTTATTTCTAGGGTTTATATGTAAATTGGTTCGTAAAGAAGATTTGATTTTGGGCTGTATGATAAGCCGTACTGAGAAGGGATATGGAGCAATTATTTTGGCGTTCTAAGGCGTGATATTATATGCATTATGAACTGACCACGCCTTGAAGAGCTTGGCTGTTTCGTGCCCAAATTTAAACACTTGTTGTTTGTTAACGTCTCAAAACAGAAATATGGGTTGGCGCCTGGCGGCGGCCACCACATGCGATGCCCTTCCTCTCCGCCAATGCCCTCGGCGATTTACTCACCTCCGCCGTGTCAACTCACTCCTCAATCCGACTCGGCCGAGCCATCCACGCCAAAATCTTTAGAACCTTATACCAAAACCAGCTTCCTTCATTTCTTGTTAACCACCTCATCAACATGTACTCCAAACTCGACCGGCTCGACTCAGCCCAACTCGTCCTCTCGCTCACTCCCCCGGCCTTTCGCTCCGTCGTCACCTGGACATCCCTAATCTCCGGCTCCGTCCAAAATGGTCATTTCACATCTGCCCTGTCACAGTTCTCTTCAATGCGCCGCGTTGACAATATCCTCCCTAATGACTTCACTTTCCCCTGCCTCTTCAAAGCCTCTACTGCCCTCAACTCCCCTTTCCTCGGGCAACAGTTTCATGCGTTAGCAGAGAAACTAAAATTGACCTCCGACGTTTATGTCGGATGCAGCGCTTTCGACATGTATTATAAAGCTGGCTTAAACGCTGATGCATGTAAAATGTTTGATAAAATGCCTCACAGAAATATCGCAATGTGGAATGCTTATATTTGCAATGCAGTGGTTAATGGCAAGCCTAAAGATGCTATCATTAAATTTATTGAGCTATTATATGTAGGAGTGGAGGGTCTGCGAGAGGATGGTCCAAATTCGATTACTTTTTGTGCTGTGTTAAATGCTTGCGCAGACTCTTTGAATTTAAAGCTAGGAAAACAATTACATGGTTATGTTATTCGATATGGTTATGAAGGGGATCTGGCGGTATTAAATGGGTTGATAGATTTTTATGGGAAATGTAAGGAGGTGATGTTTTCCGAGATGGTTTTTGATGGGATGATGGATAGGAATGTTGTGTCTTGGTGTAGCATGGTGGCTGTGTATGAGCAGAATTATATGGGGGAGAAGGCTTGTGAAACATTTGTGGAAGCGAGGAGAGGGAATTTTGAACCAACAGATTTCTTGTTATCGAGTGTGCTTAGTGCTTGTGCTGGGCTGGCAGACCTTGAATTTGGCAGGGCTGTACATGGGATTGCAGTGAAGGCATGTATTGAAAGGGATGTTTTTGTTGGGAGTGCTTTAGTAGACATGTATGGGAAGTGTGGAAGTATAGATGATTGCGAGCAAGCATTTTATGAGATGCCAGACAGGAATTTGATCACCTGGAATGCGTTGATTGGTGGGTATGCTCATCAAGGACGGGCTGATATGGCATTGGAATTGTTTGAGGAGATGACGAGTGGAAGTTCTGTGGTGATGCCTAATTATGTGACGTTCGTGTGTGTGTTGACAGCATGTAGTAGGGGTGGAATGGTGAACAAAGGGATGGATATCTTTGAATCAATGAGATGGAAATATGGCATCGAACCAGGGGCTGAGCACTATGCTTGCGTTGTGGACATGTTGGGACGTGCTGGGTTTGTTGAGCATGCGTATGAGTATATAAAGAGCATGCCTATTCGTCCGACAATTTCAGTCTGGGGTGCTCTTTTAGGGGCTTGCAAAGTGTACAAAAAGCCAGAACTGGGGACAATTGCGGCTGAAAATTTATTTGAACTTGATCCTATGGACTCTGGCAATCACGTAATCCTTTCAAACATGTTTGCAGCTGCTGGCAGGTAGTTGATGTACCTTGTTCAACCTAAGATTAATGTGTGTTTAGGAAAGCCCCATAGTTGTTCATACAGGATGTTGCCTGAAAATGCCAGAGTATAAATGGTTTCTTTTTGGGTCTAAACTTGGTTATAGGCAGAGTTAATTGAAGAATCACTTTTTGGAAAGTAAAAAATAAAGTCTTTTATGGACATCTGTGTTTGTCTCCATGACATGGGCGTTCTATTACAACTGTGCTTTAAATTTATTATTGATGCCCTTTCATAGGAGATTGGCATTATTATTCCTGTTCTGGAGTTGTCAGAAAATAACTGAAACTTTTTGAGATATCAAAGATATATTTATACTTATTTGTTGCTAGTGTGGTGGTTTTTCATCTATCTGTTAGTCTCATTTAAACCTAATTGTTGTTGACAATAAATGCAGGTGGGAAGAGGCCAACCATGTAAGGGAAGAGATGAAGGATGTGGGGATCAAGAAGGGTGTTGGATATAGCTGGATGTCCATTAAGAATTCTCTCCATGTATTCCAAGCAAAGGATACATCTCATGAGAGAAATTTTGAGATTCAGGCAATGTTAGATAAATTAAAAAAAGATATGAAAGCTGCTGGTTATGTTCCTGATACGGAGGTTTCGCTTTATGATTTAGAAGAGGAAGAGAAAGAATCGGAAGTATGGTCTCACAGTGAAAAAATTGCACTTGCATTTGCCCTTATTGCTCTCCCGCCTGGTGTCCCAATAAGGATAACGAAGAACCTAAGGGTCTGTGTTGATTGCCACAGTGCGATGAAATTCTTCTCTGGGATACTTGGCAGGGAAATCATTGTGAGGGACAACAGCCGGTTTCATTGTTTCAAGGACAATCAATGCTCCTGCAGTGATTATTGGTGACCTTTTGGACTATTTTTCAGTAATTTCTATTTGAAGGACGTTCCCACCAAAAACATGCTCGCTGGCTACAAAGTATTGAGGTTGGTGATCAAAGAGTTTTTGTTTCTTCGAGCTATAAAGGATTTGATTTGCAGAATTTCGGAGTTGAACCTGATTAATGGGGTTTATACCATCAGATGGATTTCTTGGCAACAGCTTTGAGCCTACAGGAATATTTATTGTATGAGAGATGGAAATTGCTACAAAGAATTCCAGCCTCTACTATTTACATCTAGGAGCATGTTGAAGGTGCTACTGGAGTTGAGGGAGATACTCATGTTCTTGCATTTCATATGATTATGGAAGAAGTTTTTAGAGGCAAGCTGCTTGACTTCAACCAGCTCAGATTTTATACTCATGCTTCAAGCAACCAGTTGATGTTGCAAGGTACAGATATATTTCATATACTTGGGCCAGAAAACTTCAAGGGAGGCTGTGAATCAGGCAAAAGTTGATGTTGCCGAGGGTAAGAAGAAGGGTGAGATGGGAAAAAATAAGGAAAGACAGGGACTGAACCTTAAAAATGCTGCCAAAGTTGATGCTGAAAGAGAGATAATGTGCGGGGGATCTAGCAGTGAGCTAAGGGCAATATAAACAAAGGAGCATACATTGGAGAGAGGTAAAGAAGAGATATTTTTCCCTCCCTCTATTGTTGCTTCTTTCAGATACACTTGAATGGTGGAATTGTATTTTACCTCTCGTGCAAACGACCCCCATGGATTCGTTATTAAGAAGACCATGTAAAACAACAAGAGAAGGTTTGACGTTTCTGCTAGATTTGGAGAAGAGACTGCAGTTGATCCTCCACTGAAGAGAACCTGCTCTCATATGAGGCCTTTCATTTGCTTCAGATTCTTGAAGTTATTGTTATCAAATGAATTGGGGGTGACCAAATGAAATGGTGCTAGATTACAATCAGCATTTCCAACTGCTCTTGGGCACTGGAGCCTCTGGGTGCTTGCAAAGCCGGCATCAATTGATGGAAATTTGATATTGACGGAGAATGTTATGCAAATCTAAGATGTTTCTTGTTTCATTTGCCTTTACTCATAAACCATTAAATTTCAATATGAGAAAGTACATATTTAAATCTTCTTTATTTGTCCATTATGCTTCATAGCTATCTCAAAATATCTATCATGAAAGAAACAAAGGAATTGGGAAGCCAGCTATTAATTTCAAGTCTTGTACTTAGTACTGGTAATATTACATTTAACTTCGCTTACTTTTGCTTAATGGTCTTCAGGTTTGATTTCTCTCTTTATTTTCTACTTATTCATTTTGAATTGAAGCAAAAGAGAACCAATCACTGGAGGGTTGCTTCTTCAAAGAAGAAATTTCAGAAACACTCGAATAGTGAAATTCTCAATTTTTTGTACCGCTGATGCTAAACACCAACATGGCTTTTTAATTCGGAAAAGTAGAAAACCATGTAAAACAACGTGATTGACATTTCTAAGAGTTCCAGTAATATGGGGAACAGAAGTACATATGTAAAGGAAATATGTGTTTAAATAGGGAATTATTTGAAATAATTACTGTATCACTTTATATGATGTGATATAAAAAAAATGATTGGAAACACAAGATGTTGATCGAAAATTGTAATTGTATTGCAAGCAAAATAATATATATTTGGGAAAAAAGTTTATTTGTGTGAGATATTACAATCTTGAGGTTTACAAATTATTATAACCAGCCATAACTACAGGGCAATGGAAGGAAGGTAGATATACACTTGCAAAATCAATGAATAAATGAATCAAAGAATGAACTCAGGACTAACAAATAAAACTTTCTTGTACGGGAAGTGTTCGATGTTGACGATGCAATAAATCTGCACTTGCAATACTTTAGCTCACAGCACTGCAAACTTTCCTTATGATTCCACTTGCACCTGTGAGTGGTTCAAGGTCTCCCATCTTAACCATGGCAGAAGCAAAATCCGACAGGAAGGTTCTAGGATTTCGGCTATATTCGGAGACAATACTGTCAGTTGATCCTCCACTGAAGAGAGCCTGGTCTGATATGAGGAGGCCTTTCTTTCGCATTAGATTCTTGAAGTAATTGTTGTCAAACGAATTCGGAGTGACCAAATCAAGTGGTGCTAGGTTACTGTCACCATTTCCAACGGCTTGTGGGCACTGGCGCCTACGGGTGCTTGCAAAGCCCGCATCAATGTCTGTCCCGTTACTATAAACTCTGTTGCGAAAAACAAAGCATTGAGCTTGTCCTAATGTATGCGATCCTGTACATTGGAATTCAAAGTGCAAATTATCGATCACATTCATGAACTATACGTAAAAAATGGTACGCGAATATTATAAACAAGAAAGGATATTAATTGTAAGTAAAAGAAGAAGAACAAACAAAATGTTTGATTCGTAATCCTCACCCGACAATGCAACCATATCCCTTGCACTAAGTCCTTTGTTTTTGAAATTGGAAATAAGATCTCTTAGGTTAGCAAAAGGGCTTGGCAGATTGCTTTCTGCAGCAGAACGGCTTGCAGTGATTGAATCTCTTCTTCCAAGCTTTACTTGCCATGTCGGACCGCCAACCTGATTACATTCATAAAAATGATATTAATCAGCTGCTAATTGTGAATTAGATCATGGAAGCATAAGCTTGGAGGTCCATGTTTTGCGCTCAATAGTTACTTCTAAGATGGGTAAAGAAAGAATGCATAATCCAAGTCTTAGCACTTACAGCAACTGATGCATCTCTTGCTGCAACTGAAAGTATGTCTGCACAAGAAACAACTCCAGGGCATATCTTCTCAACTTCGCGTTTTGCAGCTTCTATGACTTCAAATCCTCTTGTTGAATTATTGTTTGGCCGTGCAGTCTTTTCGCTTTGAATAGTAGGTGTCTCATCAAGCAATATTGATCCATCACAACCCTGAAAGTGTAGAAAAATAAAACATCCTTGAAAACATAGCCCATTATTCCCTTAGGATATATATACAATACATAAATCGGTGTATTTGTACCAATAAACGGAATTATGGCAGTATCGCGTGAGCGACCAAAACACAAGGCACCAGATACATTTAAAACCTCGGATACTTTGTTGAGATTTTTCTAACTTTAGTTATACATGTTTATGTTGATTTGCAATTGCTAACCTGAACGAAACAATCGTGAAAATGGAGGCGAATGAGAGAGGCAGCCATGCGACTCTCACGAGACACTGCTCTTCGGATAGAAGTACGAATTGCATCAAGCGCTTGTGGACATGTAGCATCATAGAATGTTGGAGAAAGCTGTGCCTCAGTTTGAATATTGTTAGCAAGAAATAGTAATAGGATTGAAATAACAGCAATTGTTGGAAAAGAATCCATTAAAATTTACGTGGGATTTGTATAGATATGATGCCAAGAAATGAAGGGATCGCTCTCAATGAAGATGATCAGAATGATTTGTGTTGTGTCTTAGGAAGGCAAAGGAGCAAAGTATTTATAGGGCTTCAACGTTGGAAACGTAGAAGAATGAGAAATCATGAAGTTGGTTTACGTCGCTGTTTGCTGCTCCGCGTTAGCACTGCTACTACTTTTCATGCTGCCAACTAATATGGTGTTGTTAAAGAGCTTGCAAGGTGACTTGTTCTTGGAACAGTGGTTGGATACTTCCTGACTTGTATATTTGGTCAAAATTGACTTTTGTTTTTGATTTTTCTATCTTGGGATGGGTGAATGATTTTGGCAATTACATTTTAGATTCAACCACTTCCTACTCCTTTTTATTTTTCTTTCCAAATATGATTTCGAGGGTAAAATCCTAGTTCCTTTGTGCTTCGAAGATGCTCACCCTTGTCAGTATTCTTTTGTGGTTCTCATAAAAAATGCAGTGAAGAGTTAGCCAGAAAACTGAGAAAAGTATATTCATAGTCTATGCTGTGTACCAATGGAGTTCAAGAGGCTCAATAAGTTCCTGTTCATTCAAGGAACAAAAAATAGAATAGCATGTCAAAAAATCTTATTTTCACAATAGATTTTCTAACAGATACTCTGCAGATGAAGAAGAAAGTGAGAACTTGTTAGCTCACCTAAATTCCATTCAATTTACAATGTAAATGCACGTTCTCACATTTAATGCAATTTTGCGTTTGAATACATTTCCAAAAAATTAACACCTAATTAAAACCTCCCTTAACAGGTGCTAGAAGGCGAAAATTAGCCAAAGCCTTTCATGAGTAAGATAACTTTCTTCTTGATAATTCAGTGAATATCTAGCTCTATATTTTTTGACCAATTGAAGGAAATTAGAGTAGTTATAAGCTGAAGAGATCATTTATGCTACCGTGACATTAAGCATTATTAGCTGGTTGTATTACCAATTATTTAGGGTGCTGTTTTTTGTGTGCTTTTCTTTTTCTCAAGTTACTGCTTTTTGTTTATTTCTAACTTCATCCAAATTGTTGACATTAAGCATTATTTTGAAAAATCACACTTGAACTGCTGCTTATCCAAAATTTGACTTTTCAAACCGTAATCATAAAAATATAGTTCAAGTTATTTAAAGAACTACACTTGCTTTCATCTGGTCAGGTAGCAAAAGATTTTTCTTAAAATTAAAGTTTAAGTGGACATGGTCAAAGTTGCAGAGTATATGGTCATATATATATATATATATATATATATAGTATTTTGGACGTGTGGCTAATTGGGAAGAGTATTTAGTTAAATTACTTTCCATGGTACAATAGAATAATTAGCTTTAGCTATGGTTCCCACCGATTAATTTTTTAATAATAGATAAATTCTTAAACCGTTAAAAATAGGCTAAGAAGTTTCTTATAATAAAATGTCTTGTTGACATATCTAAAATTTAGCTAGTCAAATAAGCAATGCCAAACATATTATAGGAAAATAATAGTACTTTTGAACCAAAAAGAATTTTCCACAATACATGAAAGTGTACTGGTTTAAGTATTGTTATCTACAAATTATTTGCTTGCTGGGAGTGAAGATTTATATGGTGTGTTGTACAGTCTAAAAAACTGCAATTTGTCATTGGTTTTTTTCAGAAACTGAAAGAAACTCTACACACAGTTAAGTTAGATTAAGCACGAGAGTTAACAGTTAAATCAATCTGAAAATAATTTAAAAAAAGACCCACAAGAAATACCCGTCCAGCCAATTTGTCATTGGTTGACTGCTGGCAGTTTCCCTTTTTTGACATGGTGAAATGTACTTGTTTCGTAGCTTTGCTGTTGTCCTAAATCAATTGAATCGTTCCTGTACATTTTTTGGGTCAAACGACCAAACCAGCTCTAAAGATGAACGGCTCAAATTCGATGTACTATTGGACTTTCTTTTTCTTTCCTTCTTCCTTTTTTGATTCTCAAATTTTGAATTTGTGGTCCATATGGAGCCATATTATGAGCTTCTTTTTACATTTTTCTATTACTTTGAACTCACAATCTAAATCAGACTACATCTTTTTGCATAGCTTAATTTGGACCATAAATTGTTTCTAATAATTATATTTTCCAATAATTTGAACTTATTATCTAAATGAAACCATGTTCCTTGTGGCTCCTTCTGAACCGGCAATTGCGTGGCATAATTCGAGAGATGCTACCCAATCTGGAATTTTAAATTTACTATTCTTGGATCTGCAATGCCAATAAACTCAATCCATATTTGGGTTTCATTATTTTTCTATGGTCAAATTATCCAATTGGCCCTTTAACTCTTTGTTAAAAAAAAATTAAGCCCATCATCTATTTTTTGCTGACTTTAAGCCCTTGAACTTGTAAAAGTGGGAAACCGTGGCCCTTTTAGCCAGTTTCTCCGGTTTTGCAACCGGAGGACCAATTCACACGAATACAAGTGTGCTTCTTCAAAGGGCATTTTTGTCCGTATATTCTAAGCACAAAGGGCATTTTTACCTAGACAAAGAGTTAAAGGGCCAATTGGATAAAACCAGTCCCGTTTGGATTGCATTTTCCGTCATTTTTCATAGAAAAATTACTGTAGCGATTTGATGTATGTGAGGGAAAAAGGTAATAGGGAAATGTGATCACGGAAAACGACGCAATTTTCTGACAGAAAATGGCAATCCAAACAGGGCAGCTTCCCTAACAATTTCAAGTCTTTTAAATTGTCAGAGAAAAGCAATATAATCAGGCATGAGCTACTGATCCGCTCCCAACAATCAAATACCAATTACTATCTACCGCATCACGAACTCAGTCCCTAAATAAAACCAGTAACTCTCCAGTGGCTCATCACGAACTCAGTAGCTAAATCTACCGCACTCGCTTTCATGGTTGCATTAAAAATCAAATCTTTTGTAGCAGTGACATATGAATACCTGCATGAATGGTCTGAAAACAACTGGGTGTAGCCAAAAAAGAGAGCACCCCATCAAGTTGACGCGTAGATGAAGGCTGAGTTCGCTGAAGAGGTCATACATCTGGCCCAGATCAGCAGCGTTGCCGTGGGAGTAGAGCAAAGTGAGGGATGCAGCCGGGTTTTTAACGTAGAGAGCCACAATCCGGGTCCCCCTCTTCGTCGCCAGCCTCAAAACGTCGACGTTGTCCCTCTCGGCGACTCCCGTCATCCTCAATTTCCCGGTCCCTTCGTTCTCTGCCACCCCATACGAGGGTGGATTCGGCGGTAAAAATGCCCTTTTTGTCTAGGTAAAAGTGCCTTTTTTGCTTAGAATATGCGGACAAAAATGCCCTTTGAAGAAGCACATTTGTATTCGTGTGAATTGGTCCTCCGGTTGCAAAACCGGAGAAACTGGCTAAAAGGGCCACGGTTTCCCACTTTTACAAGTTCAAGGGCTTAAAGTCAGCAAAAAATAGATGAGGAGCTTAATTTTTCTTTGACAAAGAGTTAAAGGGCCAATTGGATAATTTGCCCCTTTTTTCTATTCACTTGAAATAGCGAACAGAATTTTATAACTATTAGATTCATTTTCGTTTAGTGTTTCTTAACTTTTGTTCTTTTTTTTTTTTTTTGGTGGGGGGAAAGGAGGGACAAAAAGCCACATTAAATAGGAAAATCAGTTGTAAAAAAGAAAAAGAAAAATAGGAAGCATAAGAATATTTGCAATTTATACGACATTCATGTCGTCATCATGTGGAAGTGTTGCCACAGCAATGGAAACGAACAACATTCTCTACCCAAAGTACATATAAAAGAAGCAAAATCGGCGGAAATAAGTACTGCCATGCCAAATTGCCAATGCTATATATTAGAAGGATACACAGCCAGAACATGGAGATCATTGGTTAGCACAAAAATTTATACAGCGGAAGCAACATGATATCGATATCTTAGGAGGCTTAAGACTCTATTTGATAATCCAATTCACCACTTAAACTTAAGTGGCGTATGGTAAGAGGGGAAATGAATCAGGAATTGAAACAATTTCAACACTAGTCGTTTGGGTTAGAGGTATTGGATTCAAAATTATGGAATAAATCATTAAAATTTGGGAGTCCTCAATCCCGAGCAAATTGGAAGGTTTTGGCGGATTCCTAAATTTGACTTAGTAGACTTCTAAAAGAAATATAGAAAAGAAAGAAAAAATGTCTTCCTTCTCAATCGTCACTCTCTCGGAATTCAGTTTCAGCCGGGCACAACCTCCATGGCAACCCCTCTCCATCAGCTATTCTCTTCCATCTTTTCTCTCTCATACCATCCTTTATAGGGATCACCCATCTGTGTCCTCTCTTCTCTATCTCCTCCAATCCGTCATGGTAGACCCATCACTCCACCTCCACAAGTAGGCCACTCTTATCCCTACTCCACTTTTAGTGGTCTACCAACTCTTCTTCTTCTTTGCTGTATTCCACCCCCCATTGCTTACAAGGCATTATAAGACCATGGGAGACATTTCTATGTTGACCAAAAATTGCATCATAATTGACTCTTGAATTGCAAACTCTTTTTTTTTTTTTAGTTTCTTGATGAATAGTGTCCCTTTAATTTTTATTTTCTAGGGCAGTAGTTGCCATGGATGGCAGACGTAAAGTGATGGAGTAGTTATTTGTGTAAGATATTGGGAAAAAAGTGAAGATGTTACATTTTGGGAAAAAAATTACTATCCAAACACACTTTATTTGTGTGAGATATTACAATCTTGAGGTTTACAAATTATTATAACCAGTCATAACTACAGGGCACTGGAAGGAATGTAAATATACACTTGCAATGAAGAAATGAATCAAAGAGTGAACTCAGGACTAACAAATAAAACTTTCTTGTACGGGAAGTGTTCGATGTTGACGATGGAATAAATCTGCACGTGCAATACTTTAGTTCACAGCACTGCAAACTCTCCTTATGATTCCACTTGCACCTGTGAGTGGTTCAAGGTCTCCCATCTTAACCATGGCAGAAGCAAAATCCGACAGGAAGGTTCTAGGATTTCGGCTATATTCGGAGACAATACTGTCAGTTGATCCTCCACTGAAGAGAGCCTGGTCTGATATGAGGAGGCCTTTCTTTCGCATTAGATTCTTGAAGTAATTGTTGTCAAACGAATTCGGAGTGACCAAATCAAGTGGTGCTAGGTTACTGTCACCATTTCCAACGGTTTGTGGGCACTGGCGCCTACGGGTGCTTGCAAAGCCCGCATCAATGTCTGTCCCGTTACTATAAACTCTGTTGCGAAAAACAAAGCATTGAGCTTGTCCTAATGTATGCGATCCTGTACATTGGAATTCAAAGTGCAAATTATCGATCACATTCATGAACTATACGTAAAAAATGGTACGCGAATATTATAAACAAGAAAGGATATTAATTGTAAGTAAAAGAAGAAGAACAAACAAAATGTTTGATTCGTAATCCTCACCCGACAATGCAACCATATCCCTTGCACTAAGTCCTTTGTTTTTGAAATTGGAAATAAGATCTCTTAGGTTAGCAAAAGGGCTTGGCAGATTGCTTTCTGCAGCAGAACGGCTTGCAGTGATTGAATCTCTTCTTCCAAGCTTTACTTGCCATGTCGGACCGCCAACCTGATTACATTCATAAAAATGATATTAATCAGCTGCTAATTGTGAATTAGATCATGGAAGCATAAGCTTGGAGGTCCATGTTTTGCGCTCAATAGTTACTTCTAAGATGGGTAAAGAAAGAATGCATAATCCAAGGCTTAGCACTTACAGCAACTGATGCATCTCTTGCTGCAACTGAAAGTATGTCTGCACAAGAAACAACTCCAGGGCATATCTTCTCAACTTCGCGTTTTGCAGCTTCTATGACTTCAAATCCTCTTGTTGAATTATTGTTTGGCCGTGCAGTCTTTTCGCTTTGAATAGTAGGTGTCTCATCAAGCAATATTGATCCATCACAACCCTGAAAGTGTAGAAAAATAAAACATCCTTGAAAACATAGCCCATTATTCCCTTAGGATATATACAATACATAAATCGGTGTATTTGTACCAACAAAACGGAATTATGAAAATGTCGCGTGAGCGACCAAAACACATGGTACCAGATATATTAAAAACCTCGGATACTTTGTAGAGATTATTCTAACTTTAGTTATACGTGTTTATGTTGATTTGTAATTGCTAACCTGAACGAAACAATCGTGAAAATGGAGGCGAATGAGAGAGGCAGCCATGCGACGCTCACGAGACACTGCTCTTCGGATGGAAGTACGAATTGTATCAAGTGCTTGTGGACATGTAGCATCATAGAATGTTGGAGAAAGCTGTGCCTCAGTTTGAATATTGTTAGCAAGAAATAGTACTAGAATTGAAATAACAGCAATTGTTGGAAAAGAATCCATTAAAATTTACGTGGGATTTGTGTAGATATGATGCCAAGAAATGAAGGGATCGCTCTCAATGAAGATGATCAGAATGATTTGTGTTGTGTCTTAGGAAGGCAAAGGAGCAAAGTATTTATAGGGCTCCAAAGTTGGAACGTAGAAGAATGAGAAATCATGAAGTTGGTTTACGTCGCTGTTGGCTGCTCCGCGTTAGCACTACTACTACTTTTCATGCAGCCAACTAATACGATGTTGTTAAAGAGCTTGCATGGTGACTTGTTCATGGAACAGTGGTTGGATATTTCCTTACTTGTATATTTGGTCATAATTGACTTTGACAATTGTTTTTTATTTTTTTATCATGCAGCCAACTAACTCAAGTTTTTGCTTTTTGTTTATTTCTAACTTCATCCAAAATGTTAATAACATTATTTGAAAAATCACACTTGAACTCCTGTTTATCTAAAATTTGACTTTTCAAACCACAATAATAAAAATAGACTTCAAGTTATTTAAAGAACTATAGGCCAAAAAAAAGATTTTTCTTAAAAGTTTAAGTGGACAAGATCAAAGTGGCGTAATTGTACTCATTATAAAATGGATTAATCTTTCTACACTGACGGTTTATACGGTATCAGTTTTGGATGAATGACAACTATACATATGATCAAATATTGACAACATGATTGAGGTCGAAAACAAGTTTTCCAAAAGATTCACACAGTTTTTTGGAAAATATTTATTGTATGAATTTTTTTTTTGTGTATATGACATGGTTAGCATTAGAGATGTTAATAACGTCCCAATTATGTTGACCTACCCAAACTCATTTAGCAATAACTTGCCTAAACCCATCCATTAATTTTAAATGGGTCTAAATGGGTACCCAACAAATTCATTATATTGATCGGTAGTGGGTTGATTTGGCTCGCCCATTTATAGCTATTCAAAAATAATAATACATTTAAATTTAATTTTTTGTGAGTGTTAAGCAAATAAATTTGAATTTCTTACCAATTTAATAATAATAAAATACCGTTATTTCTTGTCAAATAAAATGAAAAAAGTAGGAAAAAAGTAAAATTTTAAGTGACTTATAAATGGGTATGGGTAATTAGATATATCCATACCCATTTCTTAAATAGGTATAAATGGGTACCCATTTATACTCATCTATTTAAATGGGTATAAATGAGTTGACCAAATTATATATACCTATTTATACCTATCTATTTAAATGGATATGAATAAGTTTACCAGATTACATCCATTACCCAATTATGACCCGTTCAAACCTATCTAAATCACCCATTTTGACATCTTTAGTTAGCATTAACAAAGCAAATTAGGTTGTAAATACATATACAACAGTCTAAGTAACATGGTTCACAATAACAAAGTGGATTTGGTATTAAAGACATACATACATACATACATATTCATATACATAGATATATATATATATATATATATATATATATAATTAATCTTTCCTATACTAACTATGTATATATTGTCAACGTTGGATGAATGGCAACTATGTAAAATTTGAATTTGAAATTCATTTTTTGCATATGTGTCATGGATTCAACGGTGATAGTGTATGCACTATTAGTGTATATAAAATTTACTCGTATATATATAGTATTTTGGACGTGTGGCTAATTGGGAAGAGTATTTAGTTAAATTACTTTCCCTGGTAGAATAATTAGCTTTAGCTATGGTTCCCACCGATTATTTTTTTAATAATAGATAAATTCTTAAACCGTTAAAAATAGGCTAAGAAGTTTCTTATAATAACATGTCTTGTTGACATATCTAAAATTTAGCTAGTCAAATAAGCAATGCCAAACATATTATACGAAAAAAAAAATAGAACCTTTGAACCATAAAGAATTTTCCAAAATACATGAAAGTGTTCTCGCTTAAGTACTGTATCTACAAATTATTTGCTTACTAGGAGTGAAGATTTATATGGTGTGTTTTACAGTCTAAATGACACGGTTCGCCATAAAAAAAAAACTGCAATTTGTCATTGGTTGACTGCTGGCTGTTTCCCCTTTTTTGACAT